GTCCAATTCAAAAATTTTGCTTCTCATGATCATTTTGATTTGGCGGAAGAGCTAGAAGTCACACAGCGCCAGATCCAGTGAGTGAGGTGGGTAGGGACACACTGCCAGGGTGGCATGAGCCCGCCCTTCTGTTGGATGGTGCTTGGCAGGAGCATTTATCGTATTTTTGGTCATTCTTCATAAAAGCACAAATGAGGACTTTCAATGACCACTTCAGAAAAGGGTGAAAAGGATGGGATAAGGTGCCTAAAGGTAGGGGAACATCTTGGGGGCTTAATGGCAACATGTCTTTTAATTTAAACATTTACCATATCTTTTGATCACCCCTATGGCTGGATCCAGGTCGAAAGTTGGGAGACCAGCATCTCGGTCCTGTAGTTCTTCCCTGAGTGCTGGCAGCCTTCTCAGGCAAGCTTCCCCGTGTCATGGGCCTGGCTGCACACTTACATAGAGCCTCCCAGTAGCTCCATGGGAGAAAGGCAAAGCATGCCAGAAGGGTCCTCTGACCGACCCGGTTATGGCCCTGTGCCTTTGCCTGAGCCCGTCACCATGCCGGGAGCAGGCGCTGTTGTTGGCAGCTCCGCATCCTACAGCGGTGCTGGTTGGCCCCAGCTGAACCTCAAGGGCTAGGTGTAGGGAGGCCTGTTTTCCAAAAGGAAAGTAGGGGTCCTCTTACTAGCACAAGTGGGAATGAACACTGAGCAAGTAGAAACAACCAGGTGAGAGTGGGTGCGATGGCACATGCCGGTAATCCCAGCACTCAGAAGGTGGAGACAGGAGGATCCTGGCGAGTCTGAGACCAGCCTGAGCTATAAACTGAGCTCAAGGCCAGCCGAGCTGCATAGCAAGACTCTGCCTCAGAAAGACACACACGCACACACACACACACACACACACACACACAGAAAAGAAAGAAAGAGTCAGGGAGATGGCTCAGTAGAATAAGTGCTTCCCTGGCAAGTACAAGGGCCTGAGCTCAATCCCTGGTTCTGGGAAAAAAAAAAAAAAAAAAAAATGGAGCAGCGTTCACATTGGCTGAAGCTTGGGATTCTAGGAACAGCATAAATGAGCAGAATCCAGCTGTTATCTTTAAGGAGGGAACTCACCTGTACAAGCCAGCTCTCCAGAGCCATGTGTCTCCATGTGTCTCTGGCTGCCAGTTGAACCCTCTGCGTGGGAGGCATGGCCCTGCCGTTGCCTGCTAGGTGACCTTGGGCAAGTGGCTTTTTTCCGTGGATCTCCTCACCATAGGATGGTGGCTGGGATTGGAAGAGCCCAGGGAGCCCTCGCCAGAGGCCAGCAAGATAACAGCTGTGTGAGGGAGGAGTGTTCAGGTTTTTGACAAATTGGAGATTGGAAACCATGCTCAAGGGCATTATGTTTTTAAAAACCCACTGTGTGGCCAAATTCAGCCCCAACCCTTCTTCCCCCCCCCCCCAGAACCTGGGATTGAACTCAGATCCTTGCACTTGCCAGGGAAGCGCTTATTCTACTGAGCCATCTCCCTGGCCCCAGTTTGAGAGCCCATCTAATGCCTCACTTTCGTGACTGGTTCTTTCCTAGCCTTTGAGGAGGATCGCTGCTTTGCTCCCTTCCTGGCACATGGCAACGTTACTACCACAGACCCTGAGTACCGCCCAGGGGCACTGGCCACCTTCTCATGCCTGCCCGGATATGCTCTGGAACCTCCAGGGCCCCCCAATGCCATCGAATGTGTAGATCCAACAGAACCCCACTGGAATGACACAGAGCCAGCCTGCAAGGGTGAGTCCCATACCCCACCACGTCCTTCAGCCTACAGACTACCCCCTGGATGCCAGCGAGGCCATTCAGGAGGGAGACCTGCATGCAGACCTCAGAGGCCCAAGCTGTGGGCAAATCCTGTCCCTTTATGGGCTGTTTGCTTAGCTGAACAATTGGTGGGCTGATTAATTAAGTATGTGGGATTAATTCAGAGTGGGGCTGGGATGGTGTAGTGGCACATGCATGTAATCCCAGAACTTGGGAGGCTGAGGCAGAAGGATTGCTGCAAGTTTGGGTCTGGCCTGGGCTACAAAATGAGTTCTAGGCCATCCTGTACTACACGGTGAAACACTGTCTCAAAAAGACAAAAAAGAAGAAAAAATAGGGCTGGGGACTTGACACAAGACCAAGATGTGGCAAGAAGTCAGGTAGAGCAGTGGGCATGGTGGTACATGGCGGCAACTGACTGTAAACACCAACACTCTAAGAGACTGAGGCAAGAGGACTGAAAATTTGAACCCAGAAAGTTAACAATTTAATATATTTAACAAAATGATTTTTTAAAAAGGGCTGAGGATATAGCCTAGTGGGAAGGTCACAGGTTCAAACAAAACAAAGACAATATGAAAAGCAAAAGCAACAGATGGATCATCAGTGCTAGGCAGAGTGCGAGCGGGTTGGTGAGGACTGTGGTGAGGGGTCCTAAGCCAGACACCCTTGTGCCTTAGCCATGTGTGGTGGGGAGCTGTCTGAGCCTGCTGGCGTGGTCCTCTCCCCTGACTGGCCCCAGAGCTACAGCCCTGGCCAGGACTGCGTGTGGGGCCTGCATGTCCAGGAGGAGAAACGCATCTTGCTGCAGGTTGAGATGTAAGTCTGGGCCCCACAGAGGGAGGGGGGTGGGCTTGGCCGGATGTGGGATGGCAGCCTTGTGGCCTTTGTCCCAGGAGGTTCGCTGGATATACAGTGGGGTCATTAAACGGGTCACCATGGGTTCAGGATGGTGTGGGAGCCCAGGGTGCAAAGCATTGATTAGCCAGGCAACTTTGGACAAGTAGAGGGGCATTGTAGCCCTTGGCGGCGGGTGGGGTGGGGGTGGGAAGGTAAGGGGTTGCTACTGTGAGCAAGGGGTCTGGCCTGGTGTCTCTGACCTTGGGGTTTCTGAGGCTGCCCCTAGAGCGATTTCCAGGGCCCCAATCTCAAAAATGTTGGATTTTTACTAATGTTCAAGGTAGGCAAGGTACCTAGAGGGGACTCAGTGTTGTGCGGGGCAGTGAAGACTGGCTTGTGATTGGTCAGAGCCGGGCTTCCCCAAGGAGGTAAAGAATGGACTGGACAGTGTGAGGAGCTAACCATACAAAGGACTGAAAATTAGGAGGCAGGAGATGGTAGTCACCATAGAACTGGGGACTGGAGGGTGAATGCAGGAACTGGGAGGAGCGGGCCAGCGTGGATGACCCTCGAGATTAGTTAAAAATGATGCTGCACGTGGTGGCCCATGCCTGTAATCCTCGTGAGGCTGAGGCAGGATTGCTGTAAATTCGAGGCCAGCCTGGCCACTAGGGCTGGACACTGCTCCAAACCTTTGGGGTCACCATTACTTCTGTTCTTTTGTAATTGAGATAATTTTGTTCAATAAAGACCTTTATCCCCCTCCCCCCCCCAAAAAAAAAACCACATAGTGAATTCAAGGCCAGCCTGAACTAGGTAGAGAGAACCCGTCTCAAAACAAACAAACAAACAAACAAACAAATCCCTACAAAACGGAGGGGGTGGGGAGGAGTGGGGGAGAGAGTTGCTAATGAACAGAGTTGGGGATTGCTCAGATTAGGGGGGGGTTGGGGAGATTGTTCAATGGAATAAGCGCTTCCCTGGCAAGCGCAAGGGCCTGAGTTCAATCCCCGGTTCCACACACACACACACACACACACACACACACACACACACACACACAAAGTTACAGATTAGGAGGGCAGAGTGGCCCGTCGCCCCGCTTTACTGTATTCCATGCCCCGCAGTTTGAACGTGCGAGAAGGGGACATGCTGACACTCTTCGACGGGGACGGTCCCAGTGCCCGGGTCCTGGCCCAGCTGCGGGGACCTCAGCCGCGCCGCCGCCTCCTCTCCTCCGGGCCCGACCTCACGCTGCAGTTCCAGGCGCCCCCCGGGCCCCCAAATCCGGGCCTGGGTCAGGGTTTCGTATTGCACTTCAAAGGTACCAAGGCACGGACCCCGGAACGGGCAGGGGTCCAGGGCCCAGAGGTCCCGAGAGGGGACACCAGAAGGCAGTGGCGGAGGCTGGAGGGGCGCCCGTGTCTCGAGGCCACGCCCACACTCGCCCTGTCTCCTGCAGAGGTCCCGAGGAACGACACCTGCCCCGAGCTGCCCCCTCCGGAATGGGGCTGGAGGACAGCGTCCCACGGGGACCTGATTCGGGGCACGGTGCTCACGTACCAGTGCGAGCCCGGCTACGAGCTGCTGGGCTCGGACATCCTCACCTGCCAGTGGGACCTGTCCTGGAGCGCTGCGCCGCCCGCCTGCCAAAAGAGTGAGTCGGGCCCGCCGCCTTCCTCGCGGCCACCCTTCCCTGACCGAGTCCCCAGCTGCCCGGGTTCCATCCCTTCGCTCTGGATCCTGCTGAGGCTCTCTTCAGGGCCCTCGCCTATGCCCTTGGGCTCCCACCTGTGTCCAGCGCTCAGAAACTGTCCCTTGTGACTGGGTTTCTGTCTCCTCTGGCTGCGTCCTTCCCTCTCTCCGCCCTGGGCTGGGTCTCAGTTCCTCTGCTCCCACCCCATCCTCTCCAGATCCTGCCTCCCCTGTCTGAGCCCACCCTCAAATTCTGCATAGGTCCCCAATCCCAGTCCCAAGCCCTTGACAGGCTGGGGAGTCACTTTACTAGGAGCAAAACTCATCAGTGTTGTTTTGTTTGCAGAACTGGGGATTGAACTCAGGCGCTTGTGCTTGCCAGGCAAGCACTTTTTCTACTGAGCCATCTCCCCGGCCTCTGTTTGGTTTATTTGAATGTAGTTTCTCAAGGATTTTTGGGTTGAGGAGTTATAGGAAGGGGGTCCTGGCCCCTTCCTACCCTTACTGAGCATACAACCTGGGAGGGAACCGGCCTCCTGAACAGTGGGGACAGGACATTACAGAGTGGCTGACTTTGGGCAAGGTTCTTAGCAGCTTGCACTAGGGTGAGGGCGGGCCGGGGCTGGAGAAGAGCAAGTGGAGCTTTTCCCCCGGGGCCTGGTGCTCCAAGGACACACCTGCCCTGAGGACGCAGTGGGAGCAGTGGACTTGTCCTTTCTGGGACAGTGTAGAAAGTTCAGAGGAGGTGACATTTAAAGGAGCTGGAAGTGTATCTCTTAGAAGAAAAAGTAGAGGCATCTTGGCACTGTCTCCATGTTTCGGAAAGCCTCACACACATACGTGGGGTTGTGGATCTTCCACACAACCCCTGGGAGTCATGGCAATGGGGGACAAACAGGAGGAATATTAGGAAACCAGAAACGACCCGGTAGGCGCAACTCCCCATCCTTGGAAGATCCGTGAAATGTGAGGCCTGCAGCTGACCCAGCTGAGGTTTGGAAGGGGTCCTGCCCAAGCTAAGACATCCAGCCTGGAGCTCAGTGACTCAAGTCGCAATTTGGCCCGGTGATGCGAACTGTGACTCTCTGCTGCTCCTTGCCGGAGCGCTGGGCCCTAGGCCCCAGGGAAATGACAGTGACATTGACCTTTGCAGGATAGTCAGGGTTAAATATGTTTGTAAAACCTTTAGCAAGTTGCCTGGCTCAGGTGCAGTAAATGGCGAGGATTATGACCTTCCACAATTGGGTTGTAAACTCTCAGGTCTGCAGGGGCTGGGCTGGCCATGCGTGTAAGCCCAGGGCCCCAACGCTGGCCCTCTCTGGTACAGTGATGAAATATTGTTTTACCTCAGCCTGGAGGCCTAGCTTTGTTCTGTGCACCCTTTTCCCCAAAAGAATTTTAAATTTGTCCCATCCATACCCTCTTCCTTCCTAGGAACTGGTGGGAGGTGGGAAAGGGGGTGACTCAGAGGTGGTGGCCTGGAGCACAGGCCTCTCCCAGCTCTGAGTTTCTGGGAGAATTCTGAAGCACCTGTTGACCCTGACGTGCTCTTTGGTCACCAGTCATGACCTGTGCCGACCCTGGAGAGATCACCAATGGGCACCGGACGGCGTCAGACGCTGGCTTTCCCGTGGGCTCCCACGTGCAATACCGCTGTCTGCCGGGGTACAGCCTGGAGGGGGCAGCCGTGCTCACCTGCTACAGTCGGGACACAGGCACACCCAAGTGGAGCGACCGGGTCCCCAAGTGCGCCTGTGAGTCCACACTCCTGGGGTGGGGGGTGGGACTGCGTAGCCTTGGGGCCTGCTCAATGGCACAGCTGCCATGTGACGGGTCCCCTCCCTGCAGTGAAGTATGAGCCGTGCCTGAACCCTGGGGTCCCGGAGAATGGCTACCAGACACTCTATAAGCATCACTACCAGGCCGGCGAGTCTCTGCGCTTCTTCTGCTATGAGGGCTTTGAGCTCATTGGCGAGGTGACCATCACCTGTGTGCCCGGCCACCCCTCGCAGTGGACCAGCCAGCCCCCACTCTGCAAAGGTGCCTGGTGGGCAGGGCAGGAGGGGCACATCAGTGTCCAGGGAGTGAAGGGCTGGGAAAGCTGTGTAGGAAACTCAGGGCCATGGGTGACACTACCCTGCTATGGGCTGTCATCCTCACAGGCATGTTAGAAGCCCTGGGAAGATTTGAGGTCCCAGAATTATCCTACGGATTGTAGCAGAGGGCCGCTTGGTTTGGAACGCCCTTACCCTCTCTGGATAGACTGTATTCCCTGCTTCTGATGAATTCTAAAGACCTGGTTGGCTCAGACCGTCCAAGAAACTTGAGCCTTAATTTAGGGGTCTGGAGAAAGAAGGCCCTGCCCTGCTCAGCCCTAAGGGAAGGATACAGTCCAGGTCTTTTGAGCAGAGGGCAGAGAGAACCAGGCTGCCTGGCCCAGCCCCACCGGGCTCCGGCCTCCCCCACCTCCCTCCCTCTCTGGCTCAGACCCCGTCCCCTCCCCCTCCTCTCCCCGCAGTGGCCTATGAGGAGCTCCTGGACAACCGAAAACTGGAAGGTCAGTGAGGGTACAGATGGAGACCCAGGCCTGGCCAGGTCGGGAGGGCAAAGCAGAGGCCTGGGGCAGAAGGCCAGCCCCAGGCTTCAAGGCCCAGGGCAGGAGGCTGGGAGAGCCCAGGCCCAGACCCAGGCCCAGCCTGGGCTCACTGGCCTCTCCTCCTTCCCAGTGACCCAGACCACGGACCCGTCACGGCAGCTGGAGGGTGGAAACCTCGCCTTGGCCATCCTGCTGCCCCTAGGCCTGGTCATTGTCCTGGGCAGTGGCGTTTACATATACTACACCAAGTAAGTACCCTCCTCCTGTCTGCTGGGGTATTTACACCAGCCTGGCACAGGAGCCAGATGAAGGGAGCTCAGGGGTCACCTGCTGGAAAGCCCATCTGTCCCCTCCCTTTCTAGGCTGCAGGGAAAATCCCTCTTCGGCTTCTCAGGCTCGCACTCCTACAGCCCCATCACCGTGGAGTCGGACTTCAGCAACCCACTGTATGAAGCTGGGGTGAGCCCCTCCCCTCCCCCAGTGGCCACATCTCTCCACTCCCCAGGGCTCCAGAGCTCACAGGCTCTGTAGTCTAGAGAAGGTCAAACTCAGCTGCCCACGAAGGCCATGTGGATGAGCAAAGCAGTAGGGACCTTGAGGACGGTGGCAAGCAGAGCGCACACGCCACCTGAAGGGCACAACTCTACCCCCAGAGGCCACTTCTGCCCCACTGCCAGCTCTCCCAGTTGTTCCAGACAATCCAGAAACTGATTTTCTTCCACATCATTTTAAGGCACCGTAGAATGAACCAAATACCCACTGGCCAGGCTCAGCCCCGTTCTCGCTCTCTGGCCCCAGGTCAATTACTTGAAGAACCCAGGGTCCCCCCCTCTCCTTGTAGGGCCCGACTCCCACTCCACTTCCACCTCAGGCTAACAACTGACCTCATCTCTCCATCTTTAGGACACGCGCGAGTATGAAGTTTCCATCTGAACACAAGACCGAGTCTGCAGGACCCAGGACACCCCTTCCCTCCTCATTCAGGGCAGCGGGGAGCACAGGCCTAGTCTCTGGCTCCTGGCTTCCTTTGTCCTTGCTGTGTACATAGTTGCCCCATCCCATGAGGGGGCTTTGATGGCCCTGGAGACCCTACAGTAAATAAACCAGCATCCTGCCGCCCAAAGCCTCCTCTTCTCAGTTGCCAAACAAGGGGCCTGCTCCCTACTCTGCTGGCTTTGGGGCCCTAGGAAGAGAGCTCAGCTCCCTGCAGCCCGTGGCTCCCTCCCTCAAGGACTGCCCTTGACAGCTCTATGGCCCCTTGGCTGTGAAGGCCACTTCCCTCCCTGATGCCTGCATCCTGGGCCTCGGCATCTGATGGGGAAAAGAAGAGGGAAGAAAAGGGGAGCCCGGCCAAGGTCCTGCCCTTTCCTGCTGATTCCCCAACCCACAGCCTCTCCACCTTTGCTTCTGGAGTTTTTTTGGTTTTGAGCAATAAACAGAAAATCACCACTTGTAACTGGGCTGGTGGGGTGTGGGAAGATATAGGTGGGAGAGTACTGGGGACCAAGGTGGGCATCCCAATGGACAGAGGGCTTGGGGAAGGGGAACTGTTGGGGGAAGGGTGGGGATCCGTAATAAACCACGTGGGTGCTGCCTGGCGTCAAGAGCCCCAGCCTGAGGCTTGGCCTCTGGGAAGCCAGGGTCTTGGCAGTGCCAGATGGCTTCAGCTAGGACAGCTGCCAGTAGCCTCTCTTCCCTGTCACTCTGGCAGTAGGCAGCCAGCTTTCAATTTACTTCATGGACAATTTACCTAAAACCCTGCCTCCTTTGGAGAATTTTTATTTTCATTCAAATGTACCATTCTCTCCCTCACCCAATTTTTTGGCATCTGCTGTTACAAGTCTACCAGGTAGGAGCTTATGGGTGGTCTTTTCTTCTATAATGTTTAATAAACTTTGGAATGTTGTAAACAATTTACAGCCAGAGACTGACTCTAAGGACGTCACCCACGCCGAGCCTGTACACCATGGAACGACACCCTCAGTCAAATTTAGAGCCTATTTCCTTTTTTTTTTTTTTTTCTTTAATTTTATGTATTTGGTACAGGGTCTCACTACATAGCTTGGACTCCTGGTGCCCCTCCTGTCTCAGCCTCTCTGGCACTGGGATTACAGGTGTTGTGCCACCATGCCTGCTTTCAGTAGCCAGCATGGCATGCCTGGAGTTCTGGGGCCGACAGGGCATATGGTATCAGAGATCCAACCTGGGTCCTTCTGCTGGCCAGACAGATGCTTAGACTGCTGAGCTATCTCCTCAGCCCCTAGAAGACTATTTTTCCAGAGAGTATTTTTCTAAATGAACTAAATTTTACTTACCATAAAATTATAGAATAATGTTTAACTGAACATATTTAAGACAGGGGATGATGCTCAAGGGGGGGGTGAATGTTAGAACATGAGGCAAATCCATCTTCTTAATAATTTAAGTTCTTGGGCTGGCCAAATAGCTCTGTGGAGTAAGGGGCTGGGGGGTTCGATCCCAGGGCCTGCTATGCCAGGCCTGACCCCGGGGTGTGCTCCCAGCTCTTGGGAGGCTGTAAACAGGCAGATCACTACGAGTCTGATCTAGTAATGAGACCCTGAACACCCTGTAGACCCTTCCCTTACCAAAAAAAAAAAAAAAATAATAATAATTTAAGTTCTTTTTTGTTTGTTTTTTGAGGCTGGCTTTAAGCCCACTATGTAACCCCTGCTCGCCTCCAATTTGTAATCCTCCTGCCTCAACTTCCTGGGGGCTGGAATCACAAGTGTGCACTAGCACACCTGGTTTTAAATTCATTTTCAAACCAGCACTATGTTAAGCACTTTGTGTACAATACAGTTTTTGTTTCGTGGTACCAGGGATTGAAAACTCTCTACGTCTCCAGCCCTTCTGAGACAGGGTCTTACAAAGTCGCCAGACTAGCCTTGAACTTGACATCTTCCTGCCTCAACTTCCCAAGTGGTTGGGATTACAGGTGTGCAGCCCTTCCCCCGGCACCAACCACAAGTGTGCTGTGAAACCAGGTCAATTTACTGTGCTTGTTTCTTTGGATAAGGAAACGGAGGTTCAGAGAGGAAAACTGACATCCTCAGGTGGCCCACATGACCCAGCGCCATTGCAATGACAGCTCCACCAGGCCTTGGGCACCGATGTCCACCTAGGGATGGGTGTGATGCATCCCCAAGACACAAGATCCAAACAAACCTCCTCCCCAGGATAAGAAAGCATGGCTCAGGGACCTGGCCACCAACAGCAGAGGCCACAGTTGCTCCTCAGAAGCGAGGGTCGGCCCTGCCAGATGCCGCAGCCCCCGACTAGACGGGGTCAGAGTTTGGCTGAGAGGCTGGCTTTAGGTCTGTAAGTTCACCTCTGCCAACAGGTGGCAGATCACCAGGTGAAAGCCATTCCTGCAACGCGCTCGCACCCCACATCCACATCTGGAAAACAGAAGGGCTCTCCCTCCCACACCCCTATCGCAGAGGAGCCACACGGGAGTACCAGCTGGGGGGTGGCGGGGGCTTCCCCGGCTCTTTATTGAAGCCTTCTCTTCATGGTGGAGTCCTTGCTGGCTGAGAACGGCGTCCTGCAATGGTTCTGAAAGACGGCTGGCTTCAGAGGAGACACTGCTCAGGATCAGGAGTTCCTCTGAGCATGAAGAGTTCAGCGACGTCCAAGGGGGACATTTTGAGGAATGTTCTAGAGGGACAAAGTGGGGAAGGGCATGAGGGACCAGGGGCGGTACCGAGAGGGCTGCTGGGAAGAGCTCCCTGAAGGAGAGTTAGAGCACGCTACCCACGCTGTGGACCACGGCTGTTCTGCAAACTGTTGGAGGACCGTGGAGGCCACAGAGTGGGTCTACACTTCTAGGTCTTCTTCCCTTCCTTCCTTCCTTCC